CTCTCTCTCTCTCTCTCTCTCTCTCTCTCTCTCTCTCTCTCTGTGTGTGTGTGTGTGGTGTATCCAGGTGCATGCCCAAGTGTGTACACTTGAGCACGTGCCTATAGAGACCAGAGTGTATTCTGGTTTTGTCTACTTACATATTTTTTTGAGTGAAGGTCTCTCAGTCAACCCGGAGTCCATTCGTTTGGCTATTTCGGCTGTCTAGCAAGCTCCTGGGATTTATTGGTCTCTGCCTCGAGCCTCTACTTCATGTTGTGCCTACAGAGACATGTGACAGTGCCCAGCTTCCATGTGTGCTGGGCATTGGAGCTCAGGTCCTAAGACTTGTACGACAAACTCTCTCCACACGGAACCCTTCCCGCAGCCATATGTTTCTGTATTTTATTGTAGCATATATAGGCTTTACTGAAACCAACCAGAAACTCTGGTGTAAGGAATCTTTTTGGACAAGTAAGGTGAACATTTCTCATCTATTTAGTATGTATTAAATTCTCAGCGAACTGTCAGCTGAGAAGTATTGCTTTGGATCAAAGGTGGTTGATAATTTTTTTTTTTCTTTTAAATGTGGCCCAGTGCCCTTGGATAGGTTAATGGCCTGGATCCTCTCCTTTAGTCCTTGTCAGAGAACATGCTCCCAGGGATGAGTGAAAATTACAATAGAAATCCTGACAGTGAACGAAGGCCACATCCAAAGAGTGCATGGCAGGGCTCCAAAGAGAAATTACGTGACTGCTGAGTAGAGGAATGTATATCTCTGTGAAGGCCAGAACAGATGTACCTTGGGAAAAACCTGGTAATTTAATTTAAGTTCTTGGTAGTTTCACATGAAGACACTTTGATTGTATTATTGAAGGATTTAATGGTTGTACACTGGTTGTTTAAATACTGTCAGGATTTTGTATTTGACTGAAATATGTTTGACTGAAAGGGCTTATGTAGGTAAGAATAAGTTACTGTGTGTAATATTCTCTGCTACCTGTAACTTTAAATGAAGAGCCCTCTTTCCAATTAGTTAGAGTTGACTACAGACAAAACTATAATCTTCTTTTTTGCATCTAGTAAGTCTACCCGAAATACTGACAATAATCCTTAATATGTGCCAGACACTATTCTCAGGTCATTGTATAAACTCATCTCCAGAAGTTTTTTTTTACCATTGTAAAGATGAGAAAACTTTAAAGACAGAGTCCAACCTGCTCAAAGACCCAGAGCTGTGTCTTTGGTAATAAAGCTTATAATATAATAAATTTTGTAGCCCCATTTTTTGTTTTTGAAATATAAGAACATTTCCCTCCATTCCCTGTCCTTCCCACAACTCCTCTCATACCTTGAACCCTATATATTGTTGCGTATATATCTAGCATATACATACATCTAATATATACATATATAAATTTCCTACTGAGTCTGTTCAGTGTTGAAGGAACAGGATTTCAGAACTGACTGTTATTGGATAATTAATTAGGGGATTAATCCTTGGGGAAAGACACTTCACTTACTCTCAACATACTTTAGCTGTATGTTCCTTGTCTAGGGGTAGAGTCTGTGAGATTCCCCTTCTGGGTTAGCATGTCTACTACTATTTTCCTTGTTCAGGTCTTGTTTATGGAGCTATGCTGTTGAAGTATCATGGGGAATGTCTTCCTGTTGTTTCTATGAAATAGCCTCATGGAAGAATTCTTGATCCTTTAGCTCTTACAATCTTTCTACTGCCTCTTCGGCCATGTTTGAACCTTCAGTGCAGTTGTGTTGTAGATGTATCCATTGGGGCTGGATACCCATGATCAATTGTTTTCTGGATTTTGAGCAGTTGTGGTTTGCTGTAACTGTCCATGTCTGTTACAAAATGAGTTTCTTTGGTAAGTGTTGAGAGCTACACTTATTTAGGTGTATAAAGATAAATATTTAGAATGAAGTTAGGAATTACTCTGGTTTAGTTAAGTGTGGTAATGACTCTTCCTCTAGGATAAATGACCTCACTGGGCTTGGGTAGTTGGCTATCTTTCCAGTACCAGTCATGATATCCCCTGTGTTGAGCAGGACTTACGTCCAATTAGATAGCTGCTAGTTACTGCTGAGATATGGGTGCCATTATTGCACCTGTAAGGACAAGTTGCTAAGCTGGTCATTGTGGTTCATAGGCTTCATAGCAGGGTAGGACTACTGAAAAGTACCCTTTGGGACTATGAAAGCTAGTCCTCAGAGAGGACTTTCAACCTCTGAGAGGCAACCAAGGGCAGTATCAATAGGCTGTATTGTTTGATGCATCCCTTGGAATCCCCTGACTATCAATTTGAAAGTTTCTAGCACCCGGTACTAAGATTTTTATTAGACGTGGGGGAACATTGCCAGTACAAATAGCTTAACTTCATTTTAAAGTATATATTATTATGTAAATGTATACATTTAAATGTATTATATACAATTTGGGGTAAATAAAAAACAATATGATTTCTTATGACTTTTTAGAACACCCTTAATGATAGTTTTTTCCTACATCCTTCCCCTTCTGTATTGACCCTCCTTTTCCCCAATTAAAGCTGCCCTCCGTGTTTTTCCAATTTCCTCCTTCATATTACTTGTCTTAAGTAAATAGTTGTGGACTCCATGTTATCTTTTTGGGATTTTATTTCCCAGCCTAATATACCTGTTTTGAGGCACTCATAAATACAAATATATTTGGAAGAGTTCACATCATTAATCAAAAATAATGCTGTTAAATTTTTTGGAGAAATGGCTCCACAGTTGACAGGAGTGAACGAGGGTGGAGAGCCTTATACTACTTGGGTTTCTGTTTATTTCCACAACACGAACCCGTCAGACTTAAAGTCTATTATTAACAAGGGTCTATAAAAGATTCATAAAGTTTGTTGGTTGTTGACACTTCAGGGCTCAGCCTAAAGGATTATTTATTCAACCAAAGATTATTTATTGTGGGTCATTAATTGGCAACATCCATATATTATTCTGTTTACTTGGTTTTGTTTCTCAGAAATGAGTTATGATCATGAGCTATCTTAACTCCTTTTCTGAAGGGTCCATTCGAGGTTTAAAATAAGTGTCTTTATACATATATATTCTTCTGTTTAAGCTTGAACGTTTGTTCTAGGTGGTTACAAGTCTTACAAGATTAAATTTGTAGGCTTACCTCCAGAGGAGCTTCTCCTGCGCATCTGGCAATCACTTGAAGGCTTTGCAGTTCCTTTATGTGCAGCTCAATACTGGAAATTTCTGCTCTAAGATGCTTTTTACTCTTCATGATTGTATCTCCTGGAGATTATTGAATTTTGTGAGGTCTTGATTCTACCTTTTGATATTTACAGGGCCCATGAGTATGTTTGTGTTCCATCCCTTAGCCCAGTGGTTCTCAACCTTCCTGATGTGTCAACCCTTTATTACACTTTCTCATGTTGTGGTGACCCCCGCCTCCCCAACCATAAAATTATTTCATTGCTACTTCATGACTGTAATTTTGTTACTGTTATGAATTGTAATGTAAACATCTAATATTCAGGATATCTGATGTGGGACCACAGAAGGGTTGTGACCCACAGATTGAGAAATGGTGCCTGAGACCATTCATGGGAATTCCATTTCTGCCATGAGGATCAATTGACTGTAAGTAGGTAACCACGATTGGACTAATAACCTCAGGTGGCATCACCCACTGAAGTCTATAGTGAGGATGAGAAATCTTTATGTAAACTTGTGTTGTCATATCTGAAGCACCAAAGCACCATCATAACTGGGATAGGAATAAGCTAGTCAACAGGATGGTTCAAAGTTGTAGTCATGGATGCTGGCACTCGGAGAAGCATAATCCTGGGAATTCAGAAACCTTCCTAATGCTGGATCTATACAGTGATAGCCATTGAATTAAAATACAACTATTATCTTCCATTACATAAATTTTCATTGCCACTTAGACTATTTATTATGACAAAACCAACAAAAGAAGGCTAATAAATATTTCGCAAACTACTGTATTTTGTATATCCACTTTTCTTCCACATTGTATATTTTTAGATTGGACTGTATTTGTTGGTTTGATTGCTTTGTTTTTGAGACAGGCTCTCACTAATAGCACTAGTCAGCTTTGAACTTGCTATTTTAGAGCGAACTGTCCTCAAACTCATAATAATCTACCTGCCTCTGCTTCCCAAGTGATGGACTGAAGGTGTGAAGTTGTGTGCCACCATACCTGGCTCCCCCTTCTCCCTGCCCTTTTTCTTTTATATCTCTAACATGGATCTGTATGGCAGTCCATTCATTTTTTTTCTTATTGTAAAGCATGCACATAATCACACAGACTAATATCACAATGGGTACATACGGAATAACATCTACCATTTGAATTTGAAATTTCCTTGATAAACTTGTGTGTTTGAACACTTGGTCTTCAGAGGGTGGCACTGTTTGGGAAGGCTACCGAAAATGACAGGAGGTGAATCATGGCTAACAGAAGTGGGCCCCTGAGGGTGGGCCTTGAGGCTGGCCCCACTTTCTGTTCTCTCTCTGCTTCCTGCGTATAAACGAACATGACAAGCAGGCTTACCCCGACCTGTATGCTTTCCTTCCATGTTCCCATGTCTTCACCTGCCATGGTGGAATGACCCTCTGGAACCGTAAACTGGCATTAAGCACTTCCTCCTTTAAATCGCTTTTTGTGAGGTCATAATGATATGAAAAGTAAATAAAATGTGTTCTTTAAAACACAAATGAATCTTCAGAGGATTTATCCCTACAGCCTCTGTAGTCATTTCTTCTTCCTTGGAGGAAAATGAGGCTCAGAGGAGCAGCAAGCTGCACTGTTTTTCCCACCCAAAGTAGATGGAACTCCTTCCCTTGGAAACTCTGAAGGTTTAGACATCATCACCTTCCTGCACTTGGATTGAGGAAAGTGGTGGAAAATACCAAGCATGAATTAGCCAGATCAGTATCAACCCAAAGGAAAATAACAATACAGTGCTGTGGGATGGTCTGTATGTCAAATTGCTCTGATTGGTCAATAAATAAAACACTGATTGGCCAGTGGCCAGGCAGGAAGTAGGTGGGACAAGGAGAGAGGAGAATTCTGGGAAGCGGAAGGCTGAGGAGAGAGACACTGCCAGCCACCGCCATGACCAGCAGCATGTGAAGACGCCGGTAAGCCACCAGCCACGTGGCAAGGTATAGGTTTATGGAAATGGATTAATTTAAGCTATAAGAACAGTTAGCAAGAAGCCTGCCATGGCCATACAGGTTGTATGCAATATAAGTCTCTGTGTTTACTTGGCTGGGTCTGAGTGGCTGTGGGACTGGCAGGTGACAAAGATTTGTCCTGACTGTGGGCAAGGCAGGAAAACTCTAGCTACAATACAGGTATTTTAAAATGTCTTCAGACCTAAATGTTTAACTGGAAACATTGAGGAATCAGAGGGCTTTCACTCTGTAATTGGAGAAAAGGGACCCTTTGTCCTAAAGCAATAGAAGATGTGTGCTATGCTGTGTTCTCTGCCAAGCTGTGTTGGCAGAGAGGTGAAGGCATTCAAATCTTAAATAATTAAGATTTTAAAAAGTGTTTAAAGCTGCTGAGAAGTCAATTTTGAGCTGGAGTAAAACTGGGGCAGATATTTATACTTCTTGTAACCCAATTAATGAACTTTTGTATATAAGCTTGATAGGAAGTCAACCTCTAGGGTGTGAGGCACAATTCCTGGGGATTATTGTTGAGGAGGTATGACCAGTCAGCAAAGGGTACAGTTCGGACATTAAAGGAGACTGGAGTCTTGGATATGTGAGGCTTTCCAAGGCTCTGAAGAGTCAGCTAGAGATTATTTCTTGGCTTTTATTGGAAGTATTAACCTCTTGGAGTCAAGTACCACTGCGATGAAATTCCCACAATGGAAGCTGAACTCTCACACCAAACACAGAAAAAGCAGTTCCAACCAATGCAGGTGCTAAAATAGAACTAATAATCCCAAGCTTTAATATCCTAGGAGCTGAAGACATGGCCCGGCTTTAAGAGCACTGGCTTTTCTCACAGAGGACAGAATTTGTAAGCATCCATGTTAAGATGCTTACAACTACCTGTGACTCCAGCTCCATGAGATATGCTCCTTCATGCATGTGGCCATACACACACACACACACACACACACACACACACACACACACACAAAATAAAATTATAAAGACTTAACATCCTAGTTCTGTTAATCATGACTGTTAATGTTGGCTACATTTCTTATTCAAGAATTTTTATATTTATGAAAAATATTTTGGTGTCACAACTCTTTGTAGTTAGGAGAAGTCAGGTTGATTTTTTTTTACTTATTATATAACCATCATGTTTGAAAATGACAATCATTTTGCCCATTCAGGACATACCTGTATTGTTCCCATATTCTCAAGCCCAGCTTGGTTCATGCACCTGGCACACCAGCCCAGTTTGATGAATGCTGTAGATCCTAGCCCACCCAGGTTCTCCTTACACTCCTAGACCTAACTTTAGTTGTGTATCTTGAGTATCAGCCCAGCCAGACTCAGCTGGAAATCTCATTTTCATGCTCTGTTGGCTACAACTGAATTGCATTCACTCCATCCTACCTCTCCATCAAAAATTAACACCAAGTATCTGAAGAACTCACCTACTTATTTTTAATACCAGATCTCCAGATCTGAAGTCAACAAAGCTTGGGCAACAGCAAAAGCAGAACTAAACTTCTACTCAATAACAAAATGAAGAAAACAGCTGAGTTTTCTTTAGAGATTGATCTTGTGTTTCAGCTGGAATCTTGCTAACAAAATTTAATATGTTGCAGGGGACTTTTTGTTTGTTTTTAAGAAGAAGGCTTTGATAATTGAGAATATTTACTGAATTTAATGTTTATTCTGGACAACTGCCCAGTATGGTGGTGTATGTTTGTGATTCCAGCACTCAGGAGACCGAGGCAGAATGATGATGTGCTGAAGGACATCCTGGGCTAAGTAAATGACACACTGTCCCTAAATAAATAGATTAATTAAGAAACAAAACTAAAAAAAATGAGCTGATGACTTTCAAAATCTTGTTATAGGACATTTTAGAAATTACATAAACTGAGCTAGAATGCCAAGGCATAGTACTTGACTTTGGAGACTTAGCTAAGAAAATAATTTACAAACATGAAGTCATGAGTAGTATGTGATCTTGATACAAACACCTCAAATCTCTCTTGTTTTCAGATTCGTCTTTAGAGAAATGTACCAAACTTGCTTACCTCTATAACTTGGAAGAGAAGGATTTCCCAACAATAAGGAGAGACTAATTATATGGAAGATTATTCATAGGTTGATCTGCTTTAAAGAATTGGACAGATGGATGTGAGCTTGTAGACAACGAATCAGGCTGTGACACCTCTGTGGGAAACAGCAAAGTATAGCTCTCCAACTTATTTCTGTGGCCTGTTGAATTTACTTGCTGCTTCATAATTTCTCCAATGTAGGGAGGTCTGTGTCTTTCCCTTGTCCACAGACTGAGTTCATTATTCACAGAATGCTCACTACACATGTATGTAATGGATTCTGGTTTCAGCACCTCAAGGACTGAGGCAGGTTCCCTCAATACTTTCAGCACCTACTTCAATATTGTGGTTTGGATATAAAGTATGTGTTCCAAGAAGGCTAATTGTTTGAAGGCATGGTCCTGCAACAGTGTTATTAGGTTATTAGATCAAGAGGGCTCCATCTTTGGACTAGTGAGAGGCGGGGCTTAGTTGAAGGCCTTGCCATGGGCACATACCTTGGAAGGGAATGCTTTGTCCCCACCCCTCTCTGCTTTGAAGCTGTTTCATCTGTAGTGGGTTCTACCAACCATGATGCTCTACCTTGCCTCAGTCCCACATCAGTGGAGCCAATAGACCTTGAATTGAAATCTCTGCAGCTGTGGCCCCAAATCTTCTCTCTCTTAAATTTCTTTTCTCAATTATCTTGTCACAGTGACAAAAAACCCTCACCAACACACACTTTATTCTTCACCTACCCTTTTCAATGTAATCTTCTCTTTTTCTGCCCCTATCCCTGCCTCATACTTGTTGCATCTATAAAACAATTTATACTTCTAGGAACTTGACTTTCTTTGGAAGACTTTGTTGTTTGAGTTATAAGCTATATTTTGGGTGATCATTCAGGTTAGGTAGATAATTTTTTAAAATCTCTTCTCCACACTTTTTCACCTAAAGCCATACAGAAAAGATTTTCTGATACTACCATTAGTGTACAGTAGAATGTTGAGAGGCTAACTTTGTTATTATTTCTACCATTTCTTGTTGGTGGCATCCACTGTACATTGAGTATAGCAATTCTTCATTGTGTGTGACTGTGCATTTCACGTAGGCTCTCATTGCATAAACTCAAAATACTTCCTCATTTCGCATCTCTTCACATGCAGTCATGTTATCTGCCTTCTCTGACAGTTGTTGACATCCATGACTTACTCTTATTCTTGGTAGATGGACTAGTTAGTGGGGAGCTTATTAAGAACTTGCTGTAGTCTGACCATGAGATTCTAGAAGGCTATGATGAAGACCCAAACAGGCAGGACTTACCCATGCTTTCCTTCCTCTTGAACTGTTGCAGTGGTTAAATAGAAGCCTCTCCAGGAACTAAAAATATTAGGCAGGGTCAAGTTCAGGCAAATGGCTAGGAAGCTCATGTGCCTGCATTCATGCAGATCTTCCTCCTGGATTTATAGAGCACATGGGCGGTCTCCATTCCATATTCTACTGAATCAGAACCTACTTCCTGGAGCAATAGGACATTGACTTCCCATTATTAATGGAATGGGTACTTGGAACCACATTCAGCAGTTGGCACACATTCTCCCTTGGTTAGGTCCAAGTAGATTAGAGGAAGTTTGAGTTATCTGGATCTCTATAAAACTTAAAAGCTTCTTAAGCACTTATGTAGATCCTTATCTAGGGCTGTTGTAAATTTCTTGTGGGCTAAGATTGTATATTACTCTCTTTATCCCCTAAAACTTTTGAGGCCTTATTCATTAGAGATTCTTGATTTGTTGAACCGAGTAATAGGGCTTTAAACTTCTTAAGTACTTACATGTGCCTGGCAATGTTGTAAAGACTCCATGTGGAATAAATCATGTAATTCACGTGATAATCCCATAAGGTAGTTACAGTTATTACATCACTTCAGAAACCAGGCCATGGGATCAGAGAGGAGACGTAGCTTTCTCAAAGTCACCCTCTTAGCTAGTGTCACAGTAGAGCTTAGAAATCAGGTAGCCTGGTTTCAGCATGTGGACCATGCGGGTATTATCTCTAGAAAAGTCACAATGAAATTACTGATAACAAAATGATACTTGAAAAGCAATCTTCATTCAGTCTTTGTTGTGATTCTTTTTCTGTTTGCTTGAGTTTGCCTTGATTATTGCTTCAATAGCACAATGGGAAACAAAATAAAACAGCAAGTGTCTGTCTGGAAGAGGCTTTGAGAAACCAATCAGTAGGGTTATTTTAAAAATATGTATAGTGGATAGTCTCACCTTCTCTGCGTTCAGAGTACATGTGTGTGTGTGCATGTGTGTGCGTGTGTGTGTGTGTGTGTGTAGGGAAGCTATTGTGAGCCCTAGAAGGAGACTGTGATGCC